TCAGGAGGCTGAGGCAGGAGAATTGCCTGAACCCAGGAGGCGGAGGTTGCGGTGAGCCGAGATCGCGCCATTGCACTCCAGCCTGGGTAACAAGAGCGAAACTCCGACTCAAAAAAAAAAAGAAAGGCCATCTCATCTCAAACCCCCAAACGTGGGCTCCAACTGCAGCCATTCTAACCTTTGTGCCACTAAGGCAATGAGGGTCAGAGGAAGAGTTCCCGCCCGTCCCAATTGAAAAGGCTGGGTACAGTGGCTTAGGCTTGTAATCCCAGCACTTTGGGAGGCTGAGGCAGGTGGATCACTTGAGGTCAGGAGTTCAAGACCAGCCTGGTCAACATGGTGAAACCCTGTCTCCACTAAAAATACAAAAATTAGCTGGGTGTGGTGGCATACACCTGTAATACCAGTTACTTGGGAGGTGGAGGCAGGAGAATTGCCTGAACCTGGAAGGCAGAGACTGCAGTAAGCCAAGATCACGCCACTGCACTCCAGCCTGGGTGACAGAGCAAGACTCTGTCTCCAAACAAAATTGCTATGTACGTACCTAAGCAACAATCAAGCATGTTCTTGACATGGAGACAGAGCAGGACTTCATCTCAAAAAAAAAAAAAAAAAAAAAAAAAAAAAAGGACATTGTTTTCCAAGTGGGCTGAGGAGGATCTCCTGCTGTGACTGAGGCTGCACTGATGCAATTCTTGGAATCAGTAGCCACATAGATTAAGAGAAAAGCAACTCCCAGCAAAGAACAAGCTGGGAGAGTGAATGCCATGCAGGCTTTTGTTTGACACAACCACTGCAGGCTAAAGGCACTGACTGAGCATCTCTCCTGCCCTCCTGGACACCTGCAGCACCTCCACCACACAGATCCAGCTCCCCCAAAGGGTGTCTTCCAGGACAGCTCCCCACCCCACACCACTGCCTGGAGCCCATACCTCTGCCAGCTCCCGCTCACTGATACTTCTGGCGGTGCTGCCTTTCTTCCTCGTGCATGGCTCTCCCACGGTGACCCTGCCATCCCCTTTGGCGTAACTGTGCACAGTGAGAATTCCTGTTTGCCCTTGGACTCGGCAGGAGAGAGGCTCACTGGTTTCTGAATCGGAAGAGATGGAATCCCGTGAAGAGCCAGAGCCCAGGCTAGAAGACAATTTCTTTTTGGAACCTGAGAAGACAAAGCGTCCCCCTACAGACGCAGGATTCACAGAAAGATCCAAGGCAGCTGCTTCTTGTTCTTCCTCTTCATCCTCCTCTTCTAGTTTGACATTTTTGAGTTCTTCAAATTTAACTTCAGTGGAGTCAGAATAATCTGAAACACACATACACATTAGACAGAGCCAAGTTCTTCCTGCATATATGAACCCAATGAAAGGCAGAGTGGCAAAGCCCAAGAAACATGGGCTGGGAGTGGGACCTAGCTTCCAATCCTGGCTCTGTCACTGGCAGGGCACTGTGAGCCAGGGCTATCTGCTCGGCCTCCTGGCTCCAGCTTCTTCCTCTATAATGGGAAGATGCTACTATGTATCTACAGGGCTAGTAAATAGGACTCCCAAGCACCGCTTGGCACTCAGCAGACACTCAATAAGGGGGAGCTGCCATTTTCTCCAGTCTCCGGCAGGAAATGCAAGCCTGAGCTCAGCAGAGAAGCTGGCTACCTACTCCATGCTAGAAAGTCTGAAGATCTTGAAAAGTATTAAGAGGGTGGATGTTAAATGTTCTCACTGCAAAAATGATAACTATGTGAAGTAATGCGTATTTTAATCAGCTAGATTTAACCATTCCACAACATATATATACTACACAAATCATGTTGGGCCAGGAGCAGTGGTTCACAACTGTAATCCCAGCACTTTGGGAGGCCAAGATGGAAGGACTGCTAGAGCCCAGGAGTTGAGACCAGCCTGGGCAACAAAGTGAGACCCTGTCACTATAAAATTTAAAAATTAGCCAGGCATGGTAGCATATGCCTGTAGTCCCAGCTACTTGAGAGGCTGAAGCAAGAGGATTGCTTGAGCCCAGAAGGTTGAGGCTGCAGTGAGCTATGTTCACACCACTGTGATCCAGCATGGGCAACAGAGCAAGACCCTGTTTCAAAAACAAAAAAATTATGTTGTACATGACAAATGTGCACAATTTTATCTGGCAGTATAAATAAATTAATTTGAGAGGAAAAAAGTAAAGAAAATCTGCTGAAGAGAAGCCAGCCCAGCCCAGGGTCTCAGTCCAAAGTGCTACTACCTGGCTGTCAGCAGACCACATATTTGGGTCATACCTGACCCAAGACAGATACAAGCCTTTCTCTAATCTAGTCTCAATGACCTTCCGAGTAACTGCTGAACAACACTGATCACACCACTACCACTCCCTCTCTTAAAATATAAATGGCTTTCTAAGCTTCCACGTGAGCAAATGAAAATGGCAGGGAGCCCTACAGCATCTCCTATTTCTCCAGCATCACCTCCTGGTCACGCAACTGCATTCTACCCTAATATTTAATTGAGGGAAATGCTCCACCAGTTCCCCATGTGGACCATGCTATTAATATTTCCCATCTCTGCTGGGAGCAGTAGCTCATGCCTGTAATCCCAGCACTTTGGGAGACCGAGATAGGCAGATCATGTGAGGTCAGCAGTTCAAAATCAGCCTGGACAACATGGTGAAACCCCATCTCTATTAATAATACAAAAAAAAAAAA